TTACTACACCCCTAGTATATTAATTACATTATATTAATTAATAGTAATAAATTATGTTAATTACTATTAATATTTTATTATTAATTGAAGCAAACTGAACCAGATTACCCCCATACAAGCTTAGGTCAAACATGTGAGAGTAGGAGGGGAGTTTATAGCACTGAGTACAGGGGAGGGCTTCAATAAATATAGCTAATTAACCTCGATGTCTACGAGTCTATATTAGACAAACCTCAATCTTTTGTAAAAATATAAAGAAAAAATTATTATAGCTTTCTGTTTTATAAAGGACAACCAGGTGGTCTCCCATAGAGCCCTTTTTCCAAAGTAGGAGTCAGCTTGGCCCTGCTAAGCTTCTTCAGCTTTCTGGAGATTCTGGGTCAAATTTACCCAAGTGATAAGGATGGAGACATGGCAATGAAATGGTAAGGGTGTAACTATAATTTTTTAATACAAGGAGTCTTGTGAAATTGCTGGATTAGGAGGTGTGGCCTAGGCAAATTCCTCACATGCTAAAGGAGAGGACCGCATCTCTGTGTGTACAAGGAAACATCTGACGTTCTGCTGGAGTGTCGGGTTGGCCTTCATTAATCTGGGTAGTGGTAGCCTAAGGAGAGCTGGAAGAGAGCAAGAGTAGTAAGAGTAGCGGCTCAGCAAGCTGTAACTAAGAGGGTTTCCTTTAGGGGAAGAGCTGCAGTGCAAATGAAGCAGGGAGGCAGTGCAAATGAAAAATATGCAACAGGAATGGTTTGCGTGGTTTGTGAAGTGCTGAAGAATTTTGATGCCACTTGCTAGGTGTGCGGTCTTCAGGCAATTCCTTACACCTCTAAGCCCGGGATTTCTCATCTATAAAATAGGAATAAGAGTAGTACCTACTTGGGGCTGCTGTGAGGATTGTATGAGTGAATGCATGTAAAGCATTTAGCAGAGAGTAGATACTCAATAAGTGCTAGCTATTACTACAAATAACTAGGTGGTCCACATCAAGGTAGCCATTCAGTAATGAGGATGACCGGTACATGTTGTTCCATGCCTTTTGGGGAAGGGGGACAGATGAATAATGATCATACCTGTCAACTCCCAGGGTGCTGTTGGTGCCCCTTAATCTAGGCACTAAGACCTAGACTTTTAACAGCTCACCAGACGGCAGACCACCAGGAAGTCTGATACATTAACTACAATCCTGCAATGTGTTCTCTAGGTAGATTCCTGCCTCATTATAAGTGACCACAGACTGAAATTGTGCAAAGAACAGTGCCCACTAGGCCCAGAGGGGGTCTGAGGCACCCAGAAAATCATATTGATCCAAGATCTGTTTCTGTGTGGAATGCATGAATGTTGTGCCACCAAACCCTTCAAGCCTAGAGGGTCAGAAGAGAACTTGGAGGAAAAAGAACTAGCCAGACTGAGAGATCGGGACACCTCAGGAAACTGGACTTGCCCACTGGAGTAAGACAGTTACATAATGAAATAATCAGCTTCATACTGTAACAATATGTGATCATGATGATGTGACATTGAGACCTAGTATCCTGGAAATATGGGGGTGGGGAGGGAGTTGAGGTGCACAAATATGGCAAGAGTGGTGTCGTAGTCTGTTTTGTGCTGTTGAAACAGAATACCCCAAGCTTAGTAATTCATAATGAACAGAAATTTATTGGCTCACAGTACTGGAGGCTGGAAAGTCCAGTATCAAGGTGCTGGCATCTGGTGAGTGCCTTGCTGTGTCATCACATGGTGGAAGATGAAGATGGTGGGGGGAGAGAGAGAGACAGAGAGAGAGAGGAGAGAAGAGGCTGAACTAGCTCTTTTATAACAAATCCACTCCTAAAGTAGCAGCATTAATCCATTCATGAGGGCAGAGCCCTCATGGTCTAATCACCTCTCAAACGTCCCACCTCCCAATACTGTTACAACAATAATCTAATTTCTACATGAGTTTTTGCAAAGGAAAAAATTTAAACCATCGCATTCCAGTTCTGGTGGGAAGCTAGAAACGACGAGTAGGTGAAACTGAACAGCTGGATGGGCGGTGTTCCCACCAGAGTGCAGAATCACCCTGGTGGGATTGAGGGCACCAGTTGCCAGGTCTGCAGACTCCACAGCAGACTGTTGAATGTGGGCTTGGGGAAGGATTTAGGAAGAATGGTGGCTATATTTACCAGAATGTCTACGAGTTGTTTCTGGGAACCTAATACTAATTCCTTCTGTCCCTCTTTTAGGCCTTAAGACTGTAGCAATTTATGCAGACTCTGAACCCAAGACTAGCTTTCAGGACTAGCGCTGTTGGCTTGGAATGGGCATATCCATTCAAACATCTAGATATAAACTGGGTAGTTAATTGGCATGAAGACAGCTTAGGAATCAAGTTAGCCCTTCTTCCCATGACAGAAGTCTATGGAAGTGGTCTTAGATCATTAATACAGTCTTTTCTTCTCTTAGGGTTACAACTGACATCCCAGTGGGAGTTACCTTAGGGGACTCATTTGTCTCTCTCCCAATGTGTTTAAAGATGCTAGAGGACAAGGAAACTCCCAGCACATCATCTCCATTTAGTCTTTGGGTGGCAGCACTCACCTGCACTTGGGAGACTTATCTAAACTTTTATAGTTTAGAACAGAAAGTTTCCTTTGCTAACCAGACGGATAGTCCCCGAGACACTTCTTACAATCTCAGGAGTACGCAGGTGCTGCCATTGTTGATGGATCAAATGACTTATACTGCATTCAGAAGTCTCAGTACCTATGTGGATTTGTATGATTCTTACGATTCTCATTGGGGAAGTTGGAGAACTCATTAAGAATCTAATGAAAGGTATGGATCATGTCCTCAAAATGAGACACAAGTCTTTATGTGTAATTTCAGGTCTCTAGAAACCTACTCATGAATTCCAGTTTGAACTTCTACAGTAGAGACAGGACTGGCAAGAACAGGCTTTAGGTTTATGGCTTTCTTCTTTGAAATATAAACTCCACTATATTCCGATTTAGTGTGTTTGCTGTTTGTTGCCCTGTTTTACTCCATAAAGTATTTGTGGCTACAAAGACATTTTCAAGATGTACTTTTCTTTCTGTTCCTATATTCATAGGGTGTCTTTACGTGGTATATCAATAACCTCTGGAACTATATATTATTAATACATCTTTTACTAATCATCAGTTGCTCATCACAATTTTCTGCTCTCCTTGGTACATTTAGTACCTCTGCTCTCCTAGTGACATTATTTTTTTGGCTACAAGTGCATTGATGCATTAGCATACAACTCTATTAGCACAAAATATTTAATGCAAAAGTCCTAAATGACAAAGAATTATTTTAAGAAATAGGAGAACTCTAGCTATTCAATGTTGCTGTAGTTTTATTATCAACACAACTTAGAACTTAATACTTAAATAATAACTAAAATTTTATTCATCTTGTAACATTTGCTATGCAATGATAAAGTTCCTACCTTATTTTTTTATCTTTTTACTTAAGAAGTGTAGAAGTTTCAGATGTAGAATGTTTGTAACTTATATGGCAAGTTTCATCTTGGATCTAGAAGGCAATACCTTCAACTTTCAAACTTGCTTTGTAAATTGCCCATTCTTAGAAATGGTGGAGATATTTTATGCCATCTGAATAGTAATGAACAATATTGCTCAGTGATTTATAACTCTAAGAGCTTTATAATTTGATTTACGAACAGCTCTCAAATTTTCCATTGGCAGTTCATACAACTATGAGTAAATTTTCTGGCCAAATGACTCAGTATTTTGCCGCATGACTAATCCCACACTCAGTGTGGAAACTATATAAATGAATTCTATTTGCTTGTGGATAATAAATGATTACTTTCCAAAAACTGTCTGCAAAGCATTATATAGTAAATGAATTCAATTATATTGATGTTTTTAAGCTCCCAAACCCAGCTGACTTTTTTGAAAAGTCTGTAATGTTCACACACACAAAAAGAACGCCCCTCTCACCCTCCCTGGAATTATCATGGCTTCTGCAGTTTGGTAACCCGTAGAATAACAAAATCTAGGCTCTACAATAGCTAAAATGTTAAAAGAACAATCTGAAATAATTCCATTTGCAATATTTTCTCAGTATACTTTTAAGTTATTTTAAAAGTTTTTATTATGGTAAAATAAAGCCCTTTACCAGGGAATATTTGCTGAAAATAATATTTGATATTACTGCAAGTTACAATTATTTGCCTTTCAAAAATTCAAAATTTTTTTTTCAAAAAATTTTTTTATCAAGAAGAAGGAGAAAAGAAAATAGTAATGTATCCACATGATGGTTTCCCTGGTTCTGGTGGCTGGAAATCACCTCCAAATTTATTTTAGATGAAGTAGGTTCTTCCAGATGATATAGCTCCTTTACCTTTTAATACAAGCACATGTAAAACACTTCACCTAGAAACAAGGAAGTTACCAGGCCAAAATTAGTATGCTTTATTTCTAATAATTTATAGCTAGAGCCATTCTTACCTAAACTTCTTATTTTCAAGGGGGTAATATTTCAATGTAATGTCCTTGTGTGATTACCAACTGGGTAATTTACTCACTTCCATATAAATTGGTAATAATCACAGACAACCTAGGCTACATTCCAAGACATTTCTTATCTTTCCCTAAAAGTCATTATTCAAGTCTGAGTATTAGTAGCCAGATTTGATGGGAAAGAAACCCTGGGCATGGAGCCATCCTAACTAGTCGGGCTCAATTTTAACTCTGCAGAGTCCAAAGCAACCTGAGACTACAAAGACCAGTCTGTGGGGGGACTCAAGGTATTTTGAACAAATTACTAAATAACAAATCCCCAGGAGAATGTCCTCTTCTCCCCTGTCTTTAATTATTTCTCTCCCTCTTCTGGCTCCGTCTCCCAAATTCCCTAGAAACTTGTTCAAATATCCCTAGCCTGACAAAATAATCACCATTTGCCTTTATTCAGGATTTAATTGCTTTTCTACTCATCCCCTTTAGAGTTAAATTTCTGCAAAGATTGTAGACAACAACTCTCTCCTCTTTTTCATCTCTCATTCCCTCTTGAACTCATTAATGTCTGGTTTTAGCCTCTCCTGCCATGCTGAATCAGTTCTCTGAAAGGTTTCCAGAGGACTCCTAGTCACCAGTCCTCAGTCCTTGCCCTTCTTAGCCTCCCATTTGTGCATCTGTTCCAGAGAGTCACTAAATTGGAACACTTCCTACTTGGCTTCGACCACTTTGCTATCCTCCAGTCCACAAATGGAAGCTGTCTCCAAAGTTCTGATTCTGAGATGCTCTTTAGCATCTATTCCTTAGTCATTTCCTCTATTTCCATTAATTTCCATTACTCCAACTACAATGTTGATGACTCCCTATCTGTTTTTGGTTCTGACCTCTCCACATTTCCATGGGCTTGCTGGATATTTTCACACTGCTGTCCTTCTGACGCTTCCAAGTCAGTGGGTCTAAAACACAGTTTTTTATCTTCTCCTTCCAAATTATTCATCTATCCTAGCTCGAAACCTGAGTTATCTTCAGTTCTTCCCTTTTTCTCAACTGGTTGCTACATAGCTTAGGGTGGAAACTTTTCTTCCTTCTGATGTTTCTTCCTGATCCATACATTAGGAACTTGTGCCACAACTTTCTGCCTCTAGGAAAGTACTCAGAAAGATGTTTCTGCCACGTTATTAAAGCACCTTACTCACTGTTATCTTTCAGGAATGAAAAGAGTTAGTGATGGAAAAACTCAAGAGGGCCTACTAGCCTTTAGTGGGCAGGAGTGATGTATAAAATTCCCTTCTCACACATGGGCCTGTCTCTTGCTCACACATGCTGAGTGCCTTATGGAAGTGTCAGGCTTCCCTTTGCCTTTGGTGTTTATCCCGGAATTTGAACAGGTTGGGTTCCTTCCTGCCCTAATGTTGGGGAGGTCTGTCATTTTTCAGCTGTGACTGGGTGGGCATGCTGAGTGAGGAAAAAGGAATAAGATGCCCCATTTTGGCCTTGAGGCTAAGCTGTCTTCTTCAATCTGACTTTATCTTGAAGAGAGTTAACACAATATTTTAATTTCCTTATGGTTCCTTGTGTCTATTCCCAATTTGGTTGAGACTCTAAAGGGAAGAAAGGCTGTATAATGGACCATCTTCTACGTATGTGATATCCAACTCTCTTAGCTATCTTTCCCAACTTTTTTGTTTTCTTTTGGGTGACAATGATAACTTACTCTCATAAATAAGTCAACAAATTATACATACTTTTCCATTATAAATTTTCATTTTTTTGTATGAAAGATTTGGCCATTGCTCTCCCCTTCCATCCCTACCCTCAAACTTAACAATTCTTTTTGTGTGTGTGACTTTTATACAATGTCAATTATTCTTTTTTAAAAGCAAAAACCTACCAGGAAGGCAAGGTATAATTTCTACTAAATTAACTTCCAAAAAGCACTGCTTGGCTGATTTAGTATTTATTGAATTCCACAATGCATTAGGCACCACATAAACACACAGAAAGAAGCAATTAATAATATGTATGCTATTATTTGGAAAAAATGATAAATTAGCAACAAACAAATCAGAAAATAACAATGGAACTATATATTAAATTATTTCAAGGATTTGGTTTATTATTAGCATCTTTAAGACAACTGATGGAAAGAACAGAAATGAATGCATCTAAAAAGAAATATCTGTAATCCTATTGCATGGCAGTTAAGCATTTGCCTGCCAAGAGAGATAAATGATGTTCTTGTGTGCACTTGAAACTTATAAATGGCTGCAGCAAGACGCAGTATGATAACAATTGTGCTAAAGGAATAGTTCAGAAAACCATAATAGCGATTTAGCTGCTTTTTGTTGTTAAAAAATATAGCGTTTGGGGCAATTTGAATACTATGCTGTGTCTGTGTCTTTGACATGTTTCTGTTCAAGTATATGTAGGCTATTTCAGCTCACTTACAAATTTCAGTCAATGAGAAGCATAAAGATGACCTTCCAAAATTCTGTTAGTTATTTCCCCCAATGTCTGCACACGATTAGTTCAGTTTTGTTGTTTAAAATTACTCCACCATGCCATTGTTGAGTCAATGCGGTGGAGAATTCTTCCTTTCCTGATGTGCCACACATTGCAAGCTCTCAGGATTTTCTTCAACAACCTCTGCATAATTGTTGAATATAGTTTCCCACTGCAGTGGGCTGCGGTATCAGGAAACCTTTAGCCATATGTACATGATGTAGTGCTACCTGTCACCCCCCCTGAGTGCTAAAGACCCATGAAGCCTATCCTGGAATGCAGTGCAGTCTACATGCTGCCATTCAAAATTCCCACCTTACCCAGTGTCTCCAAGCAAGGTCCCTTCTGAGTTCAATCCAAAACAACTGAATGAATGAGATGCAACATGTCAACAATTCGAATGTTTATTTTGTTTTAGGAAACCAGCTGTAAACAAAACGTATCTGTTGTTTTCCATGTTTATGAATCTGGCACTAAGAGACTGCATTAAGCAATGCCTTTTTAGGTTTAATACTTACACACGGTAATGTGTTACTGGCCTTAAGGACATCAATGATTAAGCTTTTACGCAGAGCTGTACGGTTTTGTATAGTTGGAAAACAACATAATTTTGAGATCACTACAAGCAAATAAAACTTTTATTCCTCCCAATTATTTACCTGCTTTTCAAAATTTTGTAAATTTTTATGACACAATTTCTTCAGTCTATTAGGTATTCCAAAAAAAGAGGCTAATACAGTCGTTATAAGAAACTCCACAAATGCAGTCAAGTGTTACCTTTTCACTATAATTAAAGTTTTCTTATGCAAGTAAATGAAACAAACAATCCAGCCCCACACAGGGAAAGCCAGCATTGCCTTGCGGGCAGCAGAACGCGGCACAGCACCGCCCGCCAAGGCCGCAAGATGCCGCAGACTGACTGCTGCAGCAGTCGCTTCCTGGCCAGCTGGCCGTGGCCGTCCGCAGAAAGGCACACTGCAGCGCTCTTGCCATACCTTCCGCGCTGGCATTGCATCAGTGTCAAATCCCCTGGCCACCAACTGCCATATACTTTTTGCTGGTTATGAAGAAACGTGGGGAGGGGACAAAAGGGAGACAGTGTGCCTGCAAGTGTGAGAGATCACTATTGCCTCACACTCCCTAAAAAATTTATCCCCCAAATATTTATAAGCCAAGTCCCAACTTACTTCATCTGTCAGGTCCCTAAATCTGAATCCCCTCGCCCTTCAAATGCACTAAATGAGTCAGGGTTTTTAGGGCAAACCCAGGAATACAAGAAGATCGAAAGTGCCTAATTCTTAGCTGCGAAATAAGTACCAAGTTTGGCGTGGAAGAGTTCACCTCTGCAGACCAGAGCGTACTACCCCCGGAGCGCTCCTAGTTTAGAGAGGCTTGGAGAGGAGTGGGCCTCCCGTTCCTGGAGTATCCCAATTCCCAGGGAAGGCCCTTCCCGGCGCTCGCGCTTCAGCGTGCGAGGAACCCCCACAAGCAATAGCTCACCCGACTGCATCCTTCAAAGCCCCAACCTCGGGGCGGGGCGCAGGGAGATGGGAGGTGGGGGGTAGCACCGCCGGGAGGCTCCTGTCAGCGCCTCACGGTTTTCCCCCTGGCTCCTTGGCGCCCCCTGACGATGGGCTCCGCAGCAATTTGGCCAAGGGAGGCTGGATAGGCGGAAGCGCCGGGTGTCCGGGAAGCTAGAGGCTCCCGGTCAATGCACCTGAGGACGGCGCGGACTGGCGGGCGGCCCCGCGGGAGGGCGCT